AATATTTTATAACATAACCAAAGTAAAGCGCGCGCTCTGATTGGTCAATTTAGCGTTCCCCATTTGCCCATGGGTGTACGCTGCTGACGTGAGCAAATGCAAAGACTATTTTTCCGCGCGCGCTTGTTTTTTCTGGTCGCGTAAGATTTGTTAAATAAACGGGAACTCTTTAGCTACAATGTATCAATGTTATGTTATAAAACAAATGGTAAACACCACAGCGTACACTATTGAGTTATGGATGCACGCGGGAGGTTGCTAAGCACGAAAGAAGCGTAAGAGTCGCTCGAGGCGATAGCCGAGAGCGACTCTAGCTTCTTGAGTGCTTAGCAAACCTCCCAAGTGCATCCATAACTCAATAGTGTACGCTGTGGTGTTTACCATTTGTTTTATAACATAACATTGATACATTGTAGCTAAAGAGTTCCCGTTTATTTAACAAATCTTACGCGACCAGAAAAAACAAGCGCGCGCGGAAAAATAGTCTTTGCATTTGCTCACGTCAGCAGCGTACACCCATGGGCAAATGGGGAACGCTAAATTGACCAATCAGAGCGCGCGCTTTACTTTGGTTATGTTATAACGGTAGATAGAGAGGGAGGAAGGTTTTTGAATTTGAAAAATTGATCGAATGCAAAGGTTCATAATACAAATTCAGATTTCTTTTTCTCACCAATTAAAACATCAAAACATTGTCAAATTTAGTGGTATGATTGCCAATCTCTAAGACTTACTGTAATTAAGATGAAACTCTGTTCTTGATGAAATAGGGAATGGTTATAGTTGCTGGCTACTTTTAAATCAAATCTCAAGACTTCCCTTTTTAAAGTTTTGGTTCTATTTTCTCTCCTTAGAACTAATTTGTAACTTCTGAAAGATTTATTTTCAGTTTTTAGAATTATAAATACCTCCAAGTGTTATTAGATGGTGTCTAGAAACTGTGCCATTAAAAAAGAATAATATTATTTTTTTATTTTTATTTTGATTCTAAGTTTTCCAAGTAAATTTTATGGTAAGTTTTAGGATTAATTTTGTAAAGTGCCTCAATCAAGTAGTTGATGTGTGCATTATTTAATGAACTATTACTATTATTATTATTATTATTATTATTATTATAATCATTATCAATGACTATGATTAAGCCTATGACCTGTGAGAGTGACTAATATCTAATTTCTCGGAACAATATCACCCTGAATCACACATTAATAAGGTCACGATAATGAAGAACAATATCACCCTGAATCACACATTAATAAGGTCACGATAATGAAGAACAATATCACCCTGAATCACACATTAATAAGGTCACAATAATGAAGGAAATGATCATTAACTAAAGAAACTTTTGATTGTTAAACAAATTCTCCTTGTTAGCTTCTTTGGAAATGTATAGAGAACAGTATGGAGAATATGCATACTGATGTTACAGTGTAAAGGGTTAACTATGAGTTATTGAAATGACTTTCAGGTTTGAGTGTAGATTGAAGAACTTCTAGCAATATGGCATTGAGTAACATTTACAAACCAGAAACAAACAAGTTTTCACATCTTGGAAGTGAGGAAGATGATGATTCTGACGACCTTGATGATGAAATTGATGATGGCTATGGGACAGCATTGCTCAGCCCAGCAAGAAATGTGCAAAAACAATTAATACCGCCAAACAGGACTACAAAAATCAGAAGGGTGCATTCAAAACCTTGGTGTACAACCAGAGCTTGTTTTGTTTGCTTTATTTGGCTGGCATTCTTTTCTATTTGTGTTACCGGACTGGTGTTGCTAATTCTACAAGCAATTGAATCAAAATCCAAGGATTCTAATGCCTATTTTGAGAAAAAGGTTCTCACAGGTGAGCAGGATGGCCTCTTGGATGATGAGAATTTTGCACCATGTGATGAGCTTGAAGCCACTAAGGTGTGGCATGCAACAATGCCAAAACTTATGACAGAAACCGCTGTACGACTTAATGACGTGAATGGAGATGGAGTTGATGACTTTATGGTGGGGTTTTCAACTGGTGTAGATGGCTACAATGCGCCTAAGATATCTTGTGATCTGTATTTCAATGGCACCTACCCTTGCTATGGTGGCATTATGGCTCTTGATGGAAAAACTGGCCAACAGATATGGAGACATTACACAATGCATGAAATCTATTCAGTAAACTGTAATGGTGATTTAGACATGGATGGAGTTCAAGACTGTTTGATATCTGGAAGAGCAGGAGTTTTTCAAGCTATCAGTGGTAAAAGGGGAGAACTTATTTGGAATTTTGGACCACAAGAATCTAGAGATACCAACATGAACCTGTACACAGCTCAGTTTATCCGAGATTTGAATGGAGATGGGGTGATGGAAGTTCTCGTCACACATGGTGGGGATCCTTTGGCGTAAGTTTAAGATTTTTCTCGTGAGTTTTCGTAATATACACATATTTGTTAACAATAATAATAATAATAATAATAACGGTTTATTGCAGTTTATCTACAGAGTAGCTAACATCTACATAAAAAGAAAAAAAGGATGAAATAACCAATTAAATATAAACCAACATTATAAACAAGTAAATCAACTGGATAAAATTTATGTACAATAAGTATATTCTAGTCACTAATCACTACTAATGCGAATCGAAGCTTTAGTTCTTAAAATGCGAGAGCATTCTCTCTTGAATGTATTAAAATCTGAACAAAGTCTTAAATGTGCAGGCAGCTTATTGAAGAGGTTGGCCGCTAAGTCTTGGAATGTTTCCTTGACAAGTGAGATTTGAAGGAGGGGAACATTACTTGATCATAGGTGTCTGTGCGTAAAGTGTCTCATTAAAATGGGTAACTTACCGTCAGGATATGAACGTATCAGTCATATTCTTTACAATCATGTGGAATCTAGGCTATTGGAAAGTGCTGCTCACGCCAAAATTTCTAGAAAAAAATTACAAATGAATGTAACCTAATAGTTCATTATTTTAAGGGATTTGAAGGCAGTAAGTATTTGTACATTATTCTGGCATGAGCATTTTTTTTTTCAGTTACAGTTTTCTTCTCTGATTTTGATTTTTCAAAAATGACATCTTTGTTGAGACAAATTATTATTGGTAGATCATCTCCTCTGTGTGTGTGTTTTTTTTATTTTTTTTATTTTTTTTTATTTCTTAGTGAGCCCAACAGTCCTGAGCGTCTGGTTGGACGTCTTTTAATATTCTCTGGCAAAACTGGAGAGGTACTAAGATGGGTGAGGACTCCAGATGAAAGAGAAACTTACTTTTCTCCGGTTATATACACAAAGAAGGATTCTACTGAGCTTGTACTGTTTGGGACGGGTGGAGAAACACACCCAGGAGGGCTCTATGTTGTGCCACTGATTGATCTGTTCCATGGATTGATTGAAAACTCCAAGCTTATCTACAAAGATAATTATAAAGGTATGGAAGAAATCTAATTGTAGATTATTCTGCAGACCTAAAACCTTGGATTTTTACTGTTGCGTATCATCCTGTGCCCACTGCTCATTCAATGTTGGAAATTAAATGTAGTCAATAAAAAGACAACATTTATGATGTTTAAATGGGGAATGATACAGTTTTGTTCAAGCTTGGAGGTTGCTTAGCAGGTAGCTTTTTATCAGCCTGCCACTTTCTTCCCCTGTCCCCTCCCCCCACCCTTTCTGTCCCACTCCTTCTTTGACCAGCCCTTACTGTTGACTGTTTGCCAAGAGAAGCATTCACAGTGCCCTATCATGGGAACCAACCATGACATCCAGACAGTGTTTAAAGGTTATGCACCATTCAGTTGGTATTAACTGAAAATTACATTTGGTACATCAAATGGCATCTACAGAGTATTATAATTCCATTTGGGATGTTTTGGGCTTGTTTGTTCTCAGGGAATTTGCCTCTTGCAAGGCCATTCTCAGTTTATTCAAATATTCCCATGAAATCTCTAACCAGGTGGTTTTATGTAAATGGTAATGAACCCATTGCCACTAGTTTATTTTTCCTGGTGTAGGTTTATGACCAGCTGGGTAAACATCATCAGCTGGTTAAATATTTCATGTCTGTCATGGGTAAACAGGAAATACAACAACTGCTGTATATGTCGTCAACTGTTTTCCATCTTAAGTGATTCTCCACAGAATTTCTCAATTTTCAAACTTTTGCTCACCCTAGAAGGCTGCAGCTCAATTTTTTTCACTTAAAAGAAAAATTTCTGTTTTTGTTCAGTTTGAATTTTCCGTTTATACTTAGGTGTGATGAATCCTCCTGTCCTTGTGGATTTGAACAATGATGGAACTGTTGACATAACCATGGCAATGTACAACACAACAGTCATTGCTTTTGATGGGGAAACCTACAAGAGACTGTGGCATTTTGTTTTCCCATCAAGTGAATCATACACGTAAGTCTTACATTGATCTTCAACTAAGCATTAGTTGCCAACTCTCACGCCTGTGGGTTGAAAACTTCGATCTCACGCCTACTCACGCCTGCAGGCCAATTTCTCACGCCTGATTGAAAAATGTGAGTTGTTGCCGTCTTGCTTGACAGTTTCCAAAAATATGTTAACTCAGACCCACGCAAGGAACAAAAACCATGTGTCAATTGTACAATTTTACAATTATACAATTGTGCCACTACATTACAAAGAATATATTTCGTGAGCAGCTAGAATAAAGCTTTATGGCCTTTTCTGGGAACACCGACATCACAACTACCTTAAAAAATTGACCATGTCAGTCCAAAACTTTCTGATTTTAGAACTATAGCGCCGATGTTATCAACTAACGTCGGTCCTTGTGGATAAGCGTTTTCTCGATAAATTCGCCTTCGGCAGACTTCAGACGTCTTCGGAAGATTTCGGACTTCTTCGGGAATCTTCGGAAATGATCGTGTCGTCTTCAAAAATCCCAGCACTCCCAGGTTAAAAATCTCACGCCTATATCTCAGACAAAGTTGGCAGGTATACATTAGAAGTCATCTGAGATTGCTCTTTAGTTTTACTGAACTATGCACTCTTCGATTTTGGCATTGAATCTCGTACCACTCTACTAGTAAATCCAAACAGGTAACTCACATATATCACCCATTGGTTGTTTTTGTTTCCCTACACTGGAAGTTGCATGCTAATAAGTGTAGGATTTCATATCCTCCTTTAAATACATATTTTCATGTGTTCTAGGCAACTGGGTTGTGTTTCAATTGTGATTTATCATGATGATTTCTTTCTCCAATGTTTTGGAAGGTCGCCAGCAGCTGGTTTCTTCAATAAGGATAACACCCCTGACTTTTTGGTGAGGTACAATTACGGATCCGGATTTCCAGTTTATTTCTACTCAAACGTGAGTGGGTTTCAAATAATAATACATGTTTAAGTTGAACAGTGTTGACATCCTTTGGAACATGATATTTTGGACAATACATCATAATCCTAAGGGAGAGGATCTCCATAAAATGCATCCTTGGGGTCAAGCCAGCTCCTTACGACTCAGTCCGATATTTTAAACATTTTTTTTACCATCAGGTGACAGTGATTGATGGCAAAACAGGCAAGCCGCTGGTCACACCTTTTGTCAAGTCGTCATCAATGTGCAACACGTCCCCTCTGACGGCCAGCATGCAGGGGCTTGGTAACGACCTGTTTGTATACTGGGTCTCAGACTGTATCGGCCATGAGGGCGAGGGAGGAAACTTTGAGTTTGTGGAAGGAACCAACGTCCATGAGCAAAGTAGAGCTGACACTTGCAAGCTTCGTTATAATGCAAAGAGCTTTAGTAAGCTACGGGTGACTAATCGCAATATAGGCTTCCCTGGCAAAGACATTTATTATTCAGGTGAGAAAATCTAAAATTTACTATTTATGGGAGTTGGATGCTATAGCACACATTGTAGTGATAGCGTTATTCGCATAATAAATAAAACTTGCTTACCACTATTTGGGTGGTGCTGTTTTGGCACTTGAAAAATTGTTTTCCACTGTCCGTGACGTTTTTTTTAGTATAGGGCAACGAGTTGCAAACTACCACCTAAAAAAAGATTTTTATTTGATTTTTATTGCGTCATCAGAGGACTACCAAGACATGGAGCATGAAAATCCAGGAGTGGAAACAGGAAGCGAATCACAAAGCAAAAACATCTCAAAAAATTCACGAATGAAACGACACGTTGGAGCACCCGACCACGGCGGGTATCAGAGACTTATTGCAACAGGTTCAGTGGTAACTTCACTTGGAGAGGAAAGCAATAAAGGACCCATGGACTCCATCGATGTGGTTTTTACCACCTACTGGCAATATCCAGCAAAAGTACGGGTCATTTTACCAGAGGATAAAGCTTGTATCGAGAATTACAGAAATCTCAGCAGAGCAGGTAAATTGGGGAACCAAATGTTTTGAAATTAAAGTATTTTGTTATGTTTTGTTGAGTAAAGTATATCTGGTTGAAATGTCACAGGAAAAAAAATTAAGTTCTTGATGCTTGCTTTCTTTGCATGTTTTTACTGCACCAAAAACAGACACAGCTTTTGTTGCTCCAAATATTGTAGGGACTGCTACATGTTTGGTTCGTTTTGTTTATTTCTTTGTTGTTGTCGTTGTTTTTCTCTCTTTGTTTTCGATTCGAGAAATAACGATTATTCTATGGAAAGTGCGCTCGAAAGATTGTTATCCACGGGTTGCAATGCATCAAAGAAACGAAACGAGTGAGCGCAGCGATCGGGTGAGTTTTTTGATGCTTCGCAACTCGTGAATAAAAATCATTCAAGCACTTTCCTTGGTATGATATTTTTAATTTATATAAAACTGAGATTTTTCTTACTGACCAACACATTTCAAAGATTAGAAGCGAACGACTGTGAAAACACATCGTTCGTCCAATCAGAGACACGAACGACAGTACTTCACAGTGGAAATCTTAGTATGTATGAGCCGTCGCACGGACAAGTCGCAACGCAGATTCGCTACGAGTGATATGAACAATTCGTGCGCAAATCTTCACTGCGTCGCGATTTTGTCTCGAAGCAAATCGAACAAATTCAAACTGTTCCGAATTCGCTTGATGATCGCATCCACCAACTCACGGTAAGGCGTCTATGGCAACGGTTATCAGGATTAATCAGTTCTGATTTGGTTTTCTTTTTTTCGAAATGAATGCAGTTGAAGACTGCGAAGCTTTTCGCTCGACCTGACAAGCGACTGGTAGCAGAAAACAAAAGGTTCATTTTTTCAGTGTGTATTTTGTCAAATCAACAGGGAAAGTTGACAATGATGTTGATGAGGACAGGAATGAACAACTTGGCATTTATGACGCAGGAGATACAGCCGTGAATGAGTGTCTCAAGAAAAAGCAACAACAAACTGACGAGGACCAAATATTTGTCAGTCAATCAGACTATGACTTGTACAAAGTTCACTTCGGAAGCTTGACTGTGTACCGTTTTACCCTCAAATGCAAATGCAACAATCTTTCCCCTTCCAAAAAATGTGCGAAGTTTTTACCCATGTCCGAGCAAGGCTGGGGAGGGTACATGGGAACACTAACTAATAGTTTTTTTGTTCCAAGGAAAAGGCCCTGAATGGGGAAATACGAAGGGATCTTTTTCTGGTGATTAATCCACTGGCGACCTTGAGTCCCCCTCCCATCCCCTCAAAAAAATGGGCCTGAAAGTACGTTCCGGAGTCACAAGGACCATCGCCTTTCTCTAACCCACTTATTCTATCAAGTCTAGCCTCAAAACCAATCTGCACATTTCGCCTCCCGGTGAGCTCAATTGGTTAGAGCGCCGGATTGTGTTGTGCGGGAGGTCGAGGGTTCGAGCCCCGGCCGGACAAATACTCATGCTCTGAAAATAAGTGAGGAGAATTTGCTACCTTTCTATAATATCAAGAAATGGATAGATATTCTAGTCTTCTCGGATGAAGACGAATAAACCGTAGGCCCCGTCTCCTGCAGGGTTAGGGGTAGGAGACGTTAATTTCCCACGCACGAGATTACTATGTGGTGGATGTCCTCCCCTGGGGTGGGATGGGAGGGAAGGTGAGATCGTTACATGGACTGAAGCGGCTGCCAGAGGCGCCTGATAATGCTGACGTGGGATCTCAACCTTATCATTGTAACTAGACACGTTTGTTGTTTAGAGTGCTTGAGACTTTCTTTCTTCTTTCTTTTAAATTTGTGTATTTGATATGTAATTTTGCTCTCTTTGAATTTGCGTCAATCTATGGAAGACACGCGTCTTTGAACTGTTCATTCAGCGGCGTGGCTGCGGATTAATTTTTTAGTCACGAAGAATACTTCACTAGTGGGATGAGGGTTGCTAAAGTTTTGAAGGCTGATTGTATTTTCAGTCTCGCAGTCAAGTAGATTTCAGTGACTGACTACAAGTGGATTAAGTGTAGGGAAAAATAACCTTTACAGGCTTCTAAGAACACTGAACTGAAGTTACAATAAAGTGCCTCAAAGAAGAAATGACCAACTTCATGTTAACAATTAGAAAAACGTTTTTAATAAAATGGGTCTATTTTAAAGTCTTGGTGTCTATCAAGGTTCCAACCTTTCTCCCAACTTGCCGAGAAAGATGTTGCAATCTAATTTGTTAAATATTTAAAGCATGAATCCCCTTAGATGTTTTTACGAACAATTAAAGACAACCTTCAAACACCATCCTTTGAATCAAAGAAAGAGTCACGAAACGTCTCAATGCCATTTTCATCATCATATCTTGCACATTTCGACACATTTTTCCATTTGATGAAAATATCATTAGTACCCCCTTGTTTCAATTATGCAATCAAAGCATGAGATATCAAATATACATTTCTTCATGGGAGGCTAAAGTTTGATTTCCCGTACAAAATCTAGCTTTCACAAACAAAGTCACAATATCTCGATGATTCTAATGTTCCCCAACTCAATCATTGTAACTTCTCCCTGACTTTTCGAACCTTTCAAAAATTCCAAGCAATTTCTTTACCTCAAGGAGGTTCAAAAAGTCGGGATGTCAAAACTAATACAGCCAGATTGACTAAGCTGATTCAACAATGTCTACAATTAAATTTCAAGCATTATTATCCCGTGCAGCTAACAGTTTTTGTCGGAGGTCGATGATAATAGGGCGACAGGCGAGGCAGCTAAAACTATCATAGATGCTCCTTAATTTCCTACTTCCCAGGCCCCTCATAATGGTACTCAACAGCGGACGTTTTTCAAACGTGGACGGCGACCGGAAGAAGAGTCCAACTACCTCTTACAGCACTGTATACCAATTAACTGGTCATTTCATCGGCGATAATTTGATTTAAAATCACAAAATATCTCTCTGCTGATATTTTTCTATCCCCTTCTTACCTTTCTGCTGAGAAATGTATTAAAATTGTTAGGGGAAAATCCTTTTGGGTTCTTATTCGGTCATCATTAAACAATGAACTGGAAACTGCTCTTGTCTTAATATTCTAGACTATACGATTCTCTTCCATGAAAAAGTAACCTCGACTTCTGGCCACCGTCTGCGACTCAAATCGCCCCCTTTTCTTAACTGTGTCGCTTCAAACTGACAACAGATATCCAGCTATGTAGGTAGCTTGTTAAAATACAGGGATGTGATGTCTTGGGGTTTTGAGCAGGTCATCATCCAGCGTCAACAAGCCCTGTAAAAGACAAACCCACAGGTATAAGGCACAAACTAACTTCGGAATGATTGGCTGTTGCAAAACAACAAAGCAATCCACAAGGCCAATAAGAGGAAAGGAAATTGTTCTGAAGGCCTTGAAGAGAACTCGAACAATTCTCAAGCGCGGGAAAGAAATCCAAATGAGTGCTTACCAGAAATGACAGAAATAAAGCGCAGGCGGACAGAAAGTGCCACACGTCATGATAATCATAAAATTCCAGGAGATAGCACTCTTTGTTATCTTCCCTCGACCGTGCTGGAGACTTCTGCAAGAGTTTCAAAAGGCGAAATATGATTTATTGAGAATACGAACCGCAAACTTTTGCGTCTAATTATGAAAATCGCGTGTACCTTGCTGAATAAGGGAACACGATGGTCTTGCTAGGGGAGCAATTACAAGTTACGGCATAATCGACGAGGTAAAAAGGTTACTTTGTTTTTTGAAAACGAGCACAGTCACACATCGACACATCCCCGAAAGTGGTGACCGGCTATTCGGTCGATAATCGACTGCAAGTCGGCCAACAGTCGTTCGGAGGAGGCGGCGTGGCCAAATCCACTCACTGGATTTGTTCTCGGTTGCCCCTAGTTCAACTCCTCGGCTGCGTTCTGTAAAAAGCCCACTGGTCTGCCGCCTGCCAGTGGGGATTTTCAAGTACTTAGTTAGTCTACACTGTGGCTGAAAAGCCCCTTAGGGGGAGCTGCAATTAACGTATTTATTTATTATTTTATTCGACTATGGGCTGTGTACTGACCGATTGTGGACCGACGAATTAGCAAAATCGCATTTGTTACTCTTAAAAGGATTACGAATGTTGTTGAATATTTCATTCATGCTGCGAAAACTGTAATAGAAGATCTGCAAGTGGTAGAGTTCGACAGACTTTTGAAAGCTTTACAAACTGAATTGATATTTCATTTACCTGCCAAGACGTGAGATTACGCAAGAAGAAAATGAGCGCGAATGTCCAACAGACAAGAGTCATACAAAGCACAACCGAAGGGAAAAACAGAAGCTTTTCCTTGTTTCGCAACTGAAAAATTAAACACACAAAGAAAGTTCTTAACTAAATAACGGGAAGAATCCTTTCTCCGAAATCTTTAAAAAAAAAAAAAAATGATGCATTTAGTAAGGAAGATCATGTCTCAAGTTGTAATTACTGAAAGAATCGAGACAAATCATTTTATCGAGGAACCGAAGGTCGGACAGGGTAGACTTCAAGCAGTCCCTCCTGTTTGGCACGAAAAAAAAATTGATGTTAGCGGGCCTCACTCTCGAGTTCCACGTGGCGCGACAGACTTCGCCGAACAGGAGGTGCTATAACAAACGTAGGGAAGAAGCGTAAATTAAGCATACCATAATCCCCAAGCCTGCCATCACCTTCGGTCTATAACAACTTAAAACAAACAACTCTTGTTATGAATACCTTCATTATGACATAAAATGCCAAATAGAGAATTCCATTGACGATCAAGATGGCCAGCAGGTAGGTAGCAAAGTCACTGGGTGTAGCAGCAACACCATAGATGGCACTGCAAGTGGAACTCACTTTAGTTATTGGTTTTCTTGTTCTACTTCAATTGTTGTTTTACAACGCGTAATGTTCTCCCACCTTTCCCGCGCATTTTTTTCAGAGATCCAATAGAGGTCGTGGCTATCGAGTTTTAACGTCACGGTAATCAAAGCCTTGCATGAGACGTTTGCAGTTGTGTTCGACAACGCCTAACTTTACCATAGGGCAATTCTCAATTGTTTGTCTTAACTATCTAAGGTAGCTTTGGTTTTCAGTGTTGGGCAAATCCTAACTATAGAATAACAGCGAACTTACAAGAACCAATTTACTGCGTTAGCAATCACCAAAAGAAGCATGCGATCCTGCGAAAAAAGAAGACAAAATACACCGATAACTTTGTTAATTCTAGTCAAGACTTGACCACGAAAAGCCAATCGACACTCGCCAAAGCCCATGGCAATGAAACCCTTGCTAAAAAAACTTCGTTAAGATCGCCAAAAACTCCATTTCACCCATGTGCAACTATCATTCTATGGCGTCAAGGTTTCTTCCTTTAGATAAAATTAGAATTGAAACAGAAACTTTTTGTAATTTTACCTTGTAAACCGGACAAGAGCAGCAATCATACCGCAGCAACACAAACACTCTTGCAAACATTCCGGCATCTAAAAGGTCACAAAATGAACAAAATCATTTTAAGTTCGATTCAATACTATCTTCAAGTGATGTATCCTTTATGATATCATATGTGAGGCAAATTCTAGCCCAAAAAATGCCTAAAATAACCAAATAAATTTCAACTTTTACTATCCAGAACTCACCAAACTTGACTCTCCCCATGTAATAGATTTGTGAACTGAGATACAAGCATCCAAAGACGTGGATAATGGCAAATGTTGTCCAGAAAGCAAAAGAACTGTAAACCTTGAATGACAGGGAAGCATTTCAAGAACTACTTGTTAGGCTCATACCCCCCSCCCACGAAAAAAAAAAAAAGGATCAGAATGGCTGAAATTCTAACAGAAAGCAGAAAATTTGTCACATGTGAACCCTCTAAGTTGGTAGTATGTACCAGCGCTAGTAACACATTTTCACCATCTCTTTTAATAGAAATCCCTTACACCTTCAAGCGCGTCTTCTGTTTGCACGAGTGCGAGAAAGAATTGTTGAATAATCGTTACGTATTCCCTTACCACTCCAATCATAGCGATAAAGATGATAACAGCAAACCCAGTATAAACAATGTGCGCGTTGGCAGCGATGTCTGGATGACGCGCTTGATAAAGTTTTACGACACCCAGGCAAGTGATGATGTACATAAAAGACGTGTCTAACAGAAAACACAAAAAATAAATTGGTCATCTCGTTTGCAAATAACATGATAACAAGATAGAGAGGAATTCCGCAGTACTTGTTTATGGTGAAAGGTTGGACAGCGTGCGTCCGAGTAAGGTGTTATACTTTCCGGCTACCTCTGAATTTTTTCTAATGTATGTAGTATAATGATAATAAATAAACGATGAAAAATAACTCACTTTCGGCTCACATCTACTCCTTTTTTTTTTTTTTGTCAAAGCGTCTGAAAAACTATAAATAACGGAGTCATAATGATATGCATTTAACTTAAACGTTCTTACAGGTGTTTGCGCCCAGTTTGTACCAAACTGAACACTGCAAGACTCTCAACTTGGGCTGGGAAAACTTACCAAACTGGAAATTAGAATTGTTAGGACACACATGATAACATCCTGATAAAACTCCTTCCATTATTAAGGCAAGACCTGCGATAAAACCACAGAAAATTGAAGAGACAAGAGGAAGTGATAAAAACGGTATTCCCTGTAGTTCTGGGTCACAAGGCTGTGGAAACTACCAAGGCGGTGATTGACAATAGTAACGGAGAGCAACTCGATTGAGTGTCGTAAAACCAAAATAGAAGGGTCAACTACAGCCAATCATAAATAAAGGAGCTACTATCAGGAACCAATAAGGACTCAAAATGAAAACAAGCTGAGGACGCGAGAATTACGACGTAACCATGGGGATATTGTCGTTAGTTTTTATTTGATTGGTTAAGGGAGAGGCGGGAATTTTCTGGACCAATCAGACATTTCTACAGCAAAACCAAAGCAATCCTGGATGACGTCGAACACTTGACTGATAACAGACTAAAAGGGTTAACAAACTGATACACTCACCCATAGCATAAAATATGGCGTAATGCTGAGGAATGCCGTAACGCTGAAAACAACATAAGAGTGCAGAAAGTCTACCATACTCGTAATAAGTACCTTAATCATAAGGAAGGACTTCGACAATCTCCTTGCACTTGTAAACTTTCCATGTTCTGTCTTTATATATCTTTTAATCTATTCAAATTTACCTTTGTTGACTTAAATTAGAAGAATACACGATTTACTTCACTTGCACGGTAACAGAATAGTCACACTATGTAATGCAGTACAGTTTACACGATCTAATAAAGATTGGTGCGCTTAAAATACCTTCTCTAATTCGCTGTTTTCTGCAACATCTAGTTTGTGTTGCCTGTCACTGGAAAAAAAAAGATATAATGTCGTAAACGTGACAAAAACGTTGCAAAACACCATGTATTAAGGAAAAACAAGCCTCCGTTCCATTAAGGTATGAAGGTGTACATTGTAGATAAAAACGATGTAATAAGCTGGAAAAAATAATTACGTACATGACTCTAGAAAGACAAAGTTCAGAACAAATTCCTTCTACTTTCCGGAAAGAATGTAATCATCTGACAGCCATTTTTTAGCAGAACTTTTTCAGTGTACATACCGTCGCAATACAAGAAGAAGGAATAGGATACCCAGCATGACATATCCAATGTTACTGAACACATTGTTAAAAGCACTGCAATGAAAAGAAATTCCTTCAGTATGTATGGAGATAACAAGCGTCAGTTTCCAAGCTTATTGCCAATTTGATAAGTTTCATTGGCACACTGCACGGCTAACTCGACAACTTAAATCATTGTGTCTTAATGCAAGCAAAAGAAGGGATTAATTTACCTGGATGAAATAAAATGAAAAACGGTGTATTTGCTTAGTAAGGTTGCTACAGGGTTAAATTTCTTTCTCGCAGTTACAACATGGAATGAAAAGGTTCAGTACTTTATTTTATTACACGACTCGGGCAGTCACAGGGCCAATAACTAAAATCAACCAATCAAAATGCTCTATTGCCGGTCCAATATTCTCTAAGTATTGGACCGGACACTGTCCCGAATGGTCCTGAATGATACCACACTTGTGTCCCTTTGAACTTCAGTCGTATAATAAATCTCTTATTAACCAAGCTTGCTCGGGACCGTACTGGAAGAATATCGGCCCTTAGTCTTTTTTGTACGCACTTGTGTCCCTTTGAACTTCAGTCAAGACCTCAGGCCGATATTCTCCCAGTATGGCCCTCGCGCTTGGTTAATAAGATATATATTTTGAACAGATAAAAGGTACAGAATAAATGTTTATTGACATGCAGTACCTCAACACCCCCAAGGGATGAGCACAAAAGAAGTTATAGTAGCATATGTCTTCGTCGCCACTGAAGTTTAGAACCTGTATTTAAAATTACAAAACATCATCAAATTAACAGAACTTTCTATCTGAAGTAAAGCTGATAGAACAGTACCCAGTTTCCAAATAGAAATATATTGGTTTGTCTCATGATGCAGCCACTGTGGATGTGGATCGCTACATTAGGACTGTCAGTTTACAAGTGTTGACTACCATTTCACCAGTGCACCCAGTTTGCCCACAATTTCCCACTGCAGTACTTGAATCATTACATGGCTGGCTTTGCGAGCAGGCAAGATAAAGCAAATGCTTTTGAAAGCAACAAATGAGTAGCCAGACAAACCTTCTGATACGTGACAACAAGCTGCACAACTGGGAGAGCATAAAACACAGCTATCAACAGCAGATTCCTAAAGATGACAACAAGAGAGCACAGCCAATAAATAGGCAATATTCAGTGGTGATGAAAAATCTTAATAAAGTAAATAAAAATCAATAATGGGCTTAATTTACAAACCAGTGATAGTGTCTGTATTTCTTTTTCAGGTATTTCTTTTCTTTCTTAGCCAGGTCAGTGAGCATAAGACTTGTCTGGAGGAATAATGACACAAATTAAACTAATTCTACAGAACTGATATAAAGATATTTTACTATTGATGCAAGGGAAGCTGGGATAGCACAGCCATGAAAGAGCCCCTCTCCCCCCCCCCCCCGCTCTTTAACCTCTATGACTTACATGTGGGTTCCTGTCCCACACTTGAGACCACACATGGGTTGAATGGGCTGTTGTTTCTTGCCATTTTTCCAGGGTCTTTCCTAATCATTTTTCAGTTTAAACAACACTAAAAATTTCAATGTCACACAGTAGCAGTTGACAAATAGCCACACCTCTTGGAAGTATCACCCATGGAATCTTACTTTTTATTTCTAGTGTATTGTAGGCCTACATGTAACTTAAAAACACCAACTCAGTAAGTTGTTAAGCAAGATTAATTTACATTACTAATTTACACCAGATAGCTTTTACATCAATAAGAACATCACCCATGTTGCAACTAGTACTTAAAGGTGACTGAGTTCTATGCTACTGTCAGTGTCTTAGAGCAAACATTTCACTACAATTGAGATCTAACTTCTTGTAATGAGCAATGTGGGGAATGAATTCCATATGCTAGTCATTACAACCAAATTTAACTATCATTAAACTGATTTACTGTACATACCCTCAACCTGTATACATCTTTCTCCATTTCAATGTCATGCAGCATGTCATAATGTTTCTCAAAATCCTTTGATGAAGGATTCATTGCTCTTTCAGTGACTAAATGGTCATTTTCATATCGTTCTAGACTATCAGTGTCCAGTGGTTCATTAACGGGAAGGATAGTTTGAGGTGTTGATCCATAATGGTCTCTTGATCTTCTTGATGAGGACGTCCTTAATGGTACACTTACTGGAGCATCTGAGGCAAACAACATGATTTTGACTTGAAATTAGGAGGGCCTGGATTTCTCTAGATTATTATTTTTTATTTACTTTATTTTATTAGCTTCACTGACCGGCAGGGACACCACAACAGCTTGTGCCAATTACTGCAGGCCCAGTAAACCCACCCATCCCAACCCAGGGGAGGACATCCATCACACAGTAATCTCGTGTGTGGGAAATTAACATCTCCTACCCCAACCCTGCAGGAGACGGGACCTCCATTTATTCGTCCCTATCCGAGAAGACTAGAATATCTAACCATTTCTTGATGTTATAGAAAGGTAGCAAATTCAA